CCCAGGGTTTGTTCTCAGCACTGCAAAACCCACCCAAGACGAGCATTGCCGGAACCTCTGTGCAATGCAGCAAGCAATTCCGTGGGGCTCTTGTAGGCACAGCCTCTGTTACTCCCACCAAAGGACGTTCACTTCTGGGCAAGAAGGTGGGGGAAGATACTGATTGGATCAGGTGATCAGGCTCTGAGTGACTGTTGCCATCTTGCTGTGCACAAAATGAGCCCGCTCAGAAGCAGGAAGGGGATCTCACTACCCACAAAGGAGAAGAGTCAGGAGTGGAGCTTGTCTTTTGGACCTCAAGATATCCCCGCTTATTGAATCTCTGTGATCCAGAGGACAGCTTGAAACCAGGGGAGCAACAGTGGAACCAGGAGACAGAGTTGTGGACTGGCCAGCCCACAGAGCAAGTTAAAGCTGAGTATGTTTGGGCAGGAGCCTGGCTTGTGGAATAGGGTGCCTCTGAGCACTTAATTAGGGAGCTGGGTTTGATGACCCCTGGAGCTGGAGCTGAGTGCCTTCAGCCTGAGGCATATGGTGGAGTGGCATGCCCTTTGGGCATTTATTGGCAGGCTTAAAAGCTTTGTAACATTTCCTGAGCAGGGCTGAGGGCCAGAGAAAGAGGCCTGTGGGCACAGCAGAGAAGACACTGCCCTGTCAAAACAACTGTATCCTGGGCATTTTTCACCTCATTTTTCACCTGCTGATGATGTCTCTGAGAACTCCAGAATTGTGAGCCAGAACTCCAGAATTCTGGGAGTTCTGTGTGGCCATTGCAATGACGTGTAGAACCCAGCCACAACTGTTATGAGAGGCTGACTGGGGTCAGGATGGGGTGAAGAGGGTCCGAGGATGGAGGTGTCTGACCTCTGTCCGTGGCAGACTTGCGAGTCGAGGAGGTTAGATGTGGCTTCTGCACCATTTCACCAGTTGGTGCTTTGTGGCTCCCACATTGTCCTTCCTAGTCACACCCGGCGGCTTCTGCTGACAGGTTCCCAGAAGCAGAGGGGATGCTTAGCTGCCCAGCCCACAGACTGTGTGTTATGTTTGGGTTTCCGTGCCTGCCTAACATTTGACAATTAATTAGGCATGGTAATTACCTGCTTTAATTTCATGATTGCACAGCCTATAATTACCCCTAATTCTGTGATGGAGAAGTTCATGTACACAAAGGCAGAGGGTGACGGGGAAGGTGATGGGTGGCAATAGGAACAGTTGCTATCACTGACTGCCAGCCAGGCATGGTTGGGACCATCTCACACCACCACCTCCCCCTTTCCCCTCTTCCATTTTACAGAATGAAAGGCCAGGCCCTGAGTTAAAATATGGTCCCTAGGATGGGGTAAAGCTGGGATTTGAACCCGGGCCTCTCTCCCTGCACAGCCCTGTTCACTGGGCTCCAGGAGGTTCGTTGACTAAACAAGCCTATGTCTGCTTGGCCCCGCCTTAAGCTGGATCTGGAGCTTAACTTCAGAACATGTCAAACCATCTTTTCAGCCCCTCATTCTCTTGCCAGCAACCCCACCCCCTACCCCCTATAAGGCCAGGAAAAGACCCTCCTGTGTTTTCTTCCAGAAGCTTTGCCATTTCCCCTTGCTCACTTAGGTCTCACATCCCAGGAGCAATAGTACAAAAGCCACGCACACACAGAGCCCTAGTGCCTGCTCCGGGATGGTCCCAGAGGGGAAGCAGCCCAGGCTTATTCCAGCACAGCATTAGGCACAGGCACAGCAGGGAATAGTACTCAGCTGGGGCGGCTCCTCACAAGCCAGTGGTGAGCAGGAGAGTCCAGGTCTGGAGGCAGTGGGGTGGCACGCGCTGTGGGATCCCCTTCCCAGTAAGCTCTAGAACTGGTGGGATGCTATGGAGCTGGAGTGCACCATCAGGCTGCCCGCCAGGCAGAGGCCAAGTACTGGCTGGGAAGGGGCTGGAGGGAGCTTCTGGCTGATGGGAATGTCCCAGCAACTGGTATTTCTTTTAAAAGAAGACGTTCTTTATTTTGTCATTGAGAGTATACTCAGCCAAGCCTACACCAACGCAAGTGTCCACAGGTACCACTCAGTATCTCTCCCTCATTGGCATAAGCTAAACCCCTAAGGTTCCTATCTAATCTTTGGAATTGCAATCCTCCATTTGACCCCAGATAGCTCTTCAAAGAGCACAGTGCTCCAGGCAGGCATCCTTTACTCATTAAGCTAAACGAGTTTGGTTTTAAGAAGACCTGAGGGGGTATTTCTGGTTTAAGGTCTGCAGATGTTGGCGGGATGTTGGCGGTGTTGGGTCCATCCTCCCCCAGAATACGAATGAAGGTTGTCCTCGCAGGACCCCTTGTGCAGGTGTTTGCTCTGTACTTAGTTCATAAGAGACAGAGTTTAATGTCTGCCTCCCCCCGCCCCTTTCCTCCAGTGTGTTAAAGCATTATGGGAGTGATCTTTCCCAGTGAAAACTCAAGATCGGAGCTTCCTCTTAAACAGAGAAGAGGGCTTGCCTGGTTCCCTGATTACAAGTATCACCCTCCTTTTATTTATTTATTCTTTTGTGCTGAGTCAGGAGATTGGACTTGAATCGGCTTTTTATGGCTCACTATAAACAGGAACTTGGTTCTGCCCGGAGAGGTCAATGCCTTTTATCCCTTGGAGGAATTATTATTTTTTTATGGTGCTGGTGGAAGGAATCAGGGCCTGTCCAACTTAATTTGAAACACAAACCGCCCCCCCCAAAAAAAAAACCAGTTCAGGGCAGAAGCTCTTTTAGTTCCTCAGTGAATATAAATCCATGATTTGGATAAGTTTAATTTATGGACAACTTAATCTGCAGAACACATTTCCAGTTTTAGCTGCAGAGAACCCCGCTGCTGAGGATGAACCAATGTCTGACTCTGTAGAGTTTCATGGCATTTGACTTCTAAAGGGAGGAGGAGGAGGAGGAAATGGGAAGGTGGGACGATTCTGAGGACTTGTGATCTGTCCAGGAAAGAGGCACCTGGGTCCCAGAAGGACTGTGCTTGCAGACCCTCACCCTGACTGCTGCCTTGGGTGACGTGTGGTGTGAGGGGTACCTTGCTTACTGCACACAGAGAGAGAAAGCAATGCCTTAGAAGTCAGGCCACCCTGGGTACAAATCCTTTATCTGAGCACCAAGAAAGGAGTCCACCGGACAGGTGTGCCTCTGCAGAAAGGCCTGGCCACCTGCTTCCGTGAAGATGTAAAACCTCAGAGACCAAGGGGCAGCTCTGCTCTGTTCTTCAGGGTCACTGTCGGTCAGAATCAGCTCAACAACGGAGGTTTGAGTTTTTGTATGTGGGGAGACTGAGGTCCAGGCTGCAGATTTGGAGCCAGGAGGGGAAGAGCATGGGAACCCACTCATAATCGGAGAAGGAACAGAGAAGTAGAAAAGAGGGGCCCTGGGGGGTCCTACCCTCTTTCTTGTGTATGCTGTTCCCAGGTTCTGCCCGGTGCTCAGGGCCCAGAGAGCATGACCTCAGGGCAGAAGGAACTGGCCCTGAGAACACACCTGGATCTAACTTCTGTTACTGAACATGACTTCTGTCGGGACCCAGGAAATGCATTTTTGTCCACCGGTACTCGGTGCCTTATTGGGGTGGGGGTGCCCCGTGTGTGACTTCTGTTTTCACAGATTGTGACCAGCTCAACAGCAGTCTGGGGTTGGTATGATGGGGGTGGGGGACACACACACAGAAATACATACAGTACAAACAGCACATTGACCTCTACTGGGAAAGGGACACACTTGGCTCCTGTGAATTGACTGTTGAGGTCTGTTCGTCCAGGACCCCATCTGTCCAGACAGCCATCACAGCCCTTGCTCCACGCCGGGTTCAAGGCAGCCAACGGCACCAA